TGGAGGCAGCGGCTGATGACTTGATGGCTTCAGCGTTCTTTGTTTACTGATATGGTTTGAAGTATTTTTTGTTCACAGCAGAATGCTACTGTAATAGACAGTCCAAAACTGCTTACAGCTTAGCCTTCACTAGGAATTAAGGACTCTAAGGATTCAAATTTTTAATTAATACATGTAATTAAAACTACTTAGAAGTAATAAGTGTGAAAGAAAACAGCTGTGTATGAAAAGTAGGTAAGGAAAGTAAAATGATTGATTGTTCCAGAATGATAAAGCAGAAAAGACATATTAAAAAATTTGAAGAGACATTTTATAAGTTGTAGATTTGTGAAAAAGAATCTTTGGAAAGGAATTTTATATGTGGTCAAGCTAGCTAAGATTGGAATGAATTTATTTAAGTCAAAAAATGAATTTTAATATCAATAGTACACTAATACAAAATTAGAGTTAAATTTCTCTGTGTTACAAGGACAAAGTGTTTATTGGATTTTTGGTCTATTTTGATAAGAAAATTGGGACAGTTTCTTTACCTTTTAAGTAATCTGTCTAGACAGCAAAGATTCTGTATCTTATCAAAATAATTTACTGTGCTCCATAATGTCTTTATCAACTCTTTGATTAATTAAGAAAATTGAATCTTCCTAATATTAACAGATTTAAGTTGTGTTCCTAGCTGTGTGACTTTATGTGTTTGCCTTTAACATCTTCTACTGTCACTTTAGTTAAATGGATAATTGAGCATTGTTTCATAATGATCTGTGATCTTTTCAGTCAAGTATCCAAATTTTTGATATTTCTGACACACTTCCCAAAATCAAATTATGAATGAAGTCTTTTTTATTTGAAACTAACTTTGGGATTTTCCAGAAGACCCCTGGGACATCTCAAAAGAATTGTTCTCTCTTATCGTAAAAAGAGAGAAGTTGAGAGAGAGAGAAAGAGAAGGCGACAGAGAAAGAGAGAGACAGATTAAACTAATTAGGCTAATTATTTGATATATTAAATTGCATGAGAAGTATCGTCAAATAAGAAGTAATATGAAGCCTTCTTTAAGTTATATTTGCATAGGTATATGTTATACGTTCCCAAATTGTATGAAATTTCTGGAAATTTGGTATGTCCTGGTATAATATTATCAGTCATGATTTCAGTTATTATCTTAAAATGCTGTATATCCCAGAAATAACTACATTTACTTATCAAGTAAACTCTCATCAGATCTTTAACAATGGGCATTTTTAAGTCTTTTACACTAATAGATATTGTTTTACTCTGATGTTTTTGAGAAGTGACACTCATGAAAAGAGCTTTACCAAATGCTCCTAACCATTGACACGATGGTGAAACAAGATGGCCTTGAACCCTGGATACACATTGCACAGCTGAGGAGGGCTCTACATGTTATCTGGTCCTAAATCAAGTTGAGTAGAAAGAGAAGTAGCTAATATGAAGGTAGATTGCTTCCACCCACGATACCAGATCAAGATTTCCTATGTTACCTAAACATGAAACCCTTTCTTCTTCTCTCCCTTTCCTTTATTCTGGCATCCTTATCTCCCAGGCCATTACTAAGGGAGGGCAACCTTTCGGCCTGCTGGATTTGTCATCAAAAACTCTGATCTGTCCATTGTGCTAGAGACCCCATGGTCCTTCCTGTGACTAATTTCTCTTCTATTTCCAATGTCACCATAAACTACAACAGACCCTCTTAAGAAGTCACTTACAGTCTGACTTTTCTAGCCAGAACATCCAGAGCCTTGTTTTGACCTTCCCCCTGTTATAACTATACTTGCCCAATTTGACACAAATAATTATGCAAATCATAGAACATCTGCACCTCCACATTCTTATTATCTGATATTCTTATATGATCTGATTTAGATCTGCCCTCAGTCATGAAAAGATATCACCAGCATTATTCATCTTTGCAAAGAATTTAGAACAACTTTTTATTTCAGGCTAGGAGCTTTATTTCCCAAGTGTCCTGAAAGCCTAAATGACTCCTGGCTTGAATAGGCAAATTCGACAATCCTTGCAAATGAACCCATCAACGGTGTCACCTTCGTGGGCATGGTTTGTGCCGGAATAAAATTTCTTTGTTTGTGTTGGTTATCATTCTCCTTGAGCCTATGAATGCCTAGATGGTTGGTGCATAACCGAGCAATGCCTTGTAGGTTATCTGTGTCCTTAACTGTCCACAATCAAACTGAAACAACTCATTGGTCAACTCCCCCGAACTTATATTGTCAGGTTGATTAAGAATTCACTTCCTTTGGCAGGTCCCTTCTTCCCAGGTTAGGAGTGAGTATGAATGAAGCTGGGATTAGCAATCTCTCCTTAACTGTTGAAGATATTGCAGAACCCACTGCTAAGACAATAGCTATCCAGCAAAAATCCTTAGGCTTTCTGGTCAAAGTTGCTCTTGATAATAATCCCTTGATTATCTATGAGCTGAGCAAGGAGGTGTCTGGGCTGTGGCCAACACCACATGCTGCGCTTGGATTAACACTTCTAGGGAAGGTGAGACTCAGCTGCATAAATAAGATCACTGAACAAGCCACTTGTTCCTTCGATGGAGTCTTTCTCTGACTTATTTGATTTCGACTGGTTTGGGTCTTGGACACCATCACTTCTAAGTGCCCTCCAGATAGTGGGAATTATCCTGTTTATAAATAACCATCGTCATCTCCCTAGTGTCCTGTATTCTCTCAAAAGCTTTAAATGTATGTTCACAGCCTCTGCAAAGCAAGCACATGATGTCCCTAAAACTATAATGTCATAAAAGGAAAAAAGAGAATGATCAAG